GATTTTATCGATGATGAGCACTGCTGCAGCTGTAGCAAAAACAAAATGATGTACTTGGAAAGAAGCTTAGTATGCACGTCAAATCCAAAGCAAGGAAAAAAAGAATTGGTGGTCGTGTGTCTCTCAAATCGTGGTAAGATGTGAATTTCTAGTGCTCACGTTCTGCATGAATATGCTGTTTTACTTCTCTATTTATGGTGGCAACATGTCGATGTTCCTCTTTCAATAGCTTTCTCAAATTAATTGTGTGCTCTGTATCCTGTGTATGCATTACGGTGTGCTTGTGAAGATCCATATAAAGAAATATATATAGAAGGGAAAACGGGCAGTGACTCTGATATTTAAGCAATCAAAGGATTCAACAATTATCAGTCTTTAACATTATCAATCCATGACAATTATAACATTCCTATTGAAAAAATTACCTAAATTATTTACTTAGTAGTTGGATTTTCTATGTGCCCAGGTGGATGTCTTAATCAAAAAATGCATTGATCTGCACCTTGATGTGTTTATTTTATGTTCTTTCTTCATTAAACCATTTTATGGTAATTGCAAGCTGCCATTATCTTCTTTTGCATCTTCTTGCTCAGTAGACCTTCTTTATTTTAATCTTAACTCAAAAACTGGCTGCAGGGCTCAGCAATGAAGCTAAAAGTGCTGGAAACTCTGAAGCAAATGTATCCACTAAAACATCCAAGATACCTGACGAGCCCGGGACAGCTAACTCAGTACATTTTACAGCTCCTCGGCACCATGACAACATCGAACTAAAGGGCAAGAATACATTTTTACCCAGAAGTGTTAGACCTCTTGCAAACAAACCAAAAACCAGCGAGGGTGAAGATGAGAAACCGAAATCCAATGAGGAGTTCAGGAAAATGTTTATCAAAGATTGAGGTTGTTCTTGGGATACTGACTTTACTTTAGAAGCCCATCGAGGTGCACTGTGTAACCCATGGTTTTGAGTAAAATGTTGTTTGGGATTAAACATACCTGTCCTTATGTCATCTTTCAGTTAGATTCTAACAAATTCACTTCAAGGCTGTATCTTTTCTTTCAGTTATGGGTATCTTTAGATTTGTATTTTCTACAGTTATATAAACAATCAACGTGAGGTGTGTTCTAATGAGGTGGATGTATTGGATGTCTTTAGTTTCTTCATTCTAGAATACATGGTCAAGTATGATCATCCTTTATCTCTGGAAATGATTCTGAAGGTTTTGGACTGTCATTTTGTTTGACCCAATGATACTTATGTTTATGGAATTTTGCAGGGTCTATATGTCGGTTAAAGCTCCTATTACATGGCAAGAACTATAATATGCTACCCGAGCCTCACTGCGGTGTTGGGTAGCATAGATTGGTAATTTGTTCTTTTGCTCCTAATCATGAGATTCAATGTGATGTTTGAGTAATTGCCAGCATTTGGTTGAGACATGATGGCTCTCAGGCCATTTTATTGATTGGATTATGGTTGGACTTTGTCATTTCTTTGGCTAACTGTCTTCTGTGTGGGGTCGCAAATCTTCTGGATGATCTTGGACCACAAAAGCACCAACCAGAACAAGCATGACCATGAGGTTGTGCAATTATCTCTGCTTGTACAGAATTGGGTTTTGATATTAGCCACATGGACTGCTATGATTTAGGGAAGCATGACCTGACCTAATCTGTCAGTCTAATTTCGGTTACAAAATGTAGGGTTTGATGGTTTCTACCTTTAACTTTAACTAACTAGTGTTCTGATCAGGTTAAGAATCAGAGCCAAAACTCAATCTCCACCGCCCAGGACTACTGGACTTCTCAAAAGGGTTAGGGCATGTTGTGGAGGTAAATCCTGATATGGTGTGTGATTTCATCTGACACAGATAAGATGATTAGCTGTCGGAGGTACAGGTTGGAGCTGGAATGCACTGCCTGACCCTTAAGATATGTAAGGAAACCCTAATTTATAAGAAGCTGACATTGCATTGTTTGATTACTTGGATGAGTTATGACTTTAATGATCACTGATTTCAGGGTTCTGCAAGTTGGATCTGATAACTTTTTTTTTCCTTCAAAATCTTTAATGCCAACCCAACACACAACACACAACAAGGTGGATTCCTGCAGAGACTGTGGATGAAGTTGCAGATATATGTCCAGTTCTCTTGCACCTTGAGGGGCTAACTCCATAACTACTCTCTGATCGTGAGTGAACAGTGGCAATCATAAAGCTTTTACCCATAAACATGAGAAAATCCATGTGTTGTATTTCAAGGTAAACATCAAAACCAAGACTCTCTTTTTCCTTTGTATTTTCTTACACGCCACATATATTACAGATGTACGTCTAACACTCCTCCCCAAATAGAATTAGAAAAAGGTAAAGAAAAAAAAAACAATAAAGCAGCGTAGAAAATAATGATTGCACATAGAACCCAAAATAGTGATAACACTTAGGGTTTTGGGGTACTGACCCACAAGCCTAGAGACCTTGTCTGATTGGGCACAAACTGTTCTATTTTTTGAACTCACAAACAAATGAAGTGCGCCTTTATGTTAATTTGTGTTTAAGCCACATGGGTGAAGATTTATTCCGGCAAAGTATCCACCTGCCACTGCCATGAATGTCCTTTTTTGCCACCCATCCCTGGTTTTCATGGCTACTGAATGTTATAAAACTAAGGGGAAGAAGACAATAGCAAGAAGCCACTGGCCTCATGGCCCATCATCTCGTGGCTGTTCATGGATGGGGACTTCTTAGGATCCTAGACATTTTTGAATAACTGGCTTGCTTTTTTTTTTTTTTTGGGAGAATGAAAAAGATCGAGTTACGATTTTATTCTGCTGCAGCCATTGCAATTAAAGAAACCTTATCTCAATAAATACAATGAATACATTATATCTCTTTGAGACTAAATTTAATTTGGCTACCACAATTTTTATCAACACAATAATAAATTAAATCTTTGGCTGAAGTAAGCATTATGTATTGGTTATTATTGACTTATTATATTTAGAAAGTAATGATCTTTATATAAAATATAAAAATTTTAACTAGTAAACTACCGTGTAACTGGTGCATAGTTCTTTATTTAGAGTTTAAAAAGACACAATTGTATGTTAATACAACAACTAACTAGTTTTCGCTTCTCTGTTTTTTTCCCCCTTTCTTCTTTTGCTTTTAATTTCACTTACATCATCATTTTGCACTCATATCTTCCTGCAATATCTAATAACCTCATCACTTTGCATGGACTTGATAAGATGTGGTCACACATATGTATATGTGTATATATATATATGGTCATTTGTTTATAAGTAGCTATAAACTGCAATGCAAAGGAATTAAGCTCAATGGTAATGCAAATTACTTTGCTAGTGATATTTTTTCATTTGTTTGAAATTTGATTTTTGTGTTATTACAACGAGTTGAAGAGCTGATCTTCCATGACAAGACAATTAGTGGAGGTTATAGAGAATTTACAAGTTTATGCATGTATATATATATATATATATATAGACAGTAGTACTTGCTAGAATGTAAAATATTACATGTGTTCTCCATCTCTCCTCATAGACCAGTTTATTGGGCACAAAGTACGGACCTTTTGGAATTCCTGCCTACTTAATTAAACTGGGTTTTAGTGAGTGAAAAAAAGAGAACAACCCCACAAAAGCAAAAAGGCAAATGCAGTGACAGAACTGAGTGTTGGCTTAAGCATGCGTTTTATATATTTCTACTTGTTTTATGGGATCACGCAATCCCACTTTGTCTTGTATTTTTTATCCCTTCTCCCTTTTTGCTTTCCTCTTTCTTTATTACCAAATTATAATCATCATTTCTTCACCCCCCCACCCCCCCCCCCACCGTCGATGGTTAGTATAATAACCCTTCCTTTCGCCGATGCCTTCGACCCGTGCAATTTCTTTTCCGTAGCGACCCGCGGCGAAAGCACG